GGGAAGTTCTTGCGCAGGAAGCTGCCAGTGTAGATGTAGCCTAAGTGTCTTACACTCTTTATTCCTCAGTTTATCTTTTCTCTAAACTAGGTATAAGATTTATTGCATCTGTCTCATCAGATTGATTGCTTGTAAAGCTCTTTAAAATCACTGGAAGAAAACACAACATAGTAGTAATAGTAGAAGCAGTGGCATCAGAATGCAAGATCCATTTCTCATTGTATTTTAGTATTCTACTTGCTCAGAATGTGGCATTGTAACAGTATTGCTGAAAAAAGCTTTTATGTAACAACATTGTTAGAACTTAGCTCAGTCCTTGATAACAATCTCTGATCACACCGTTTTCTTAGCACAATAACCCACCTCTATGTTCCACTCTCCATTATTTAGTGACCACACAGTAGATGTGACAGGAAATAATGCCTCTAATTCGAGCTTCATTTAGCACTTTAGGGTTTGCTGATGATGCCCACATGCACTAAAAAGTATACTCATGGTGTGACAGAAACCACATTGTGGAAACAATTCATTACAGGCCAGATGATAAAATACTATGACTGGAAGCAAAGTACCAGCTCTGCTCCCTCTATTTCTACAGTATGAGAGTAGAGCTTACTAGAAATACTGCTCTTTTAAGAAATTAGTATAATGAGTCTAATGGTTATAGCAAAAAACTGGTGGTCAGTAATGAAAAATAGTTCACATATATGGAATGCTTTTCTTCCCAAAATGTTTTTTAAACACAAGACTAACTGAAATGCACACCCTTACATCCAAAATACAAACACTAATGCGGTGGACAACAGCTTTTGTAAGCAATACACAGAAGTCTAAGACATTGAGGCCTGGTCTATACAAGGACCTTAATCCGAAATAAGTCCCCCCCAGGTCAAATTTGTAAGTGATGCATCCACACTACCAAGCCTGTTATTCCAGAATAAGGGGCTGTGGAATACGAACTCTGTAGTTCTGCTTTTCATGAGGAATAATGTTATTCCCGAACTTGTAAGTCCAAAATAACATTAGTGTGCACGCTCCGGTGCCACTAATTTGAACTAATTGTCCTCCAGGAGGCCTACCACAGCTCCCCAGCATGCTTTCTGGGGCTCTGAGTCCAAGGTAGCATATCCACATGAATGGAGCCTACCTAGGACTTCCCCTAGTGAGGACACAAAACTTTGAATTTGTAAGATTGGGTGCCCAGATGTCAAATTTAGTAAATTCGAAATAATCTTCTAGCGTAGACATGGCCTGAGTGAAGAATGCTCTGACCAGTTGTGACGTCAGGGAGAGTTTAGTTAAGCAAAAGGCAATAACCCAAGTTTGAATGTAATCAAGACAGTAGAATTAACACTGTCCTACTCTTGGATAGAATGCCATGTTAAGAAACTTGGCTTTACATTCACCTGAAAGACCTTTCCTCCATGTTTCTAACACCATGCTAGAGCATTATTAATAAAGGTTCAGAGAGAAGAATAGTACTTAATGAATCTTCAACACTTCCTGCAGCATCCCTGGTTTCTTTTGCATTGTTCCATCCAAAGATGAACCATGACCAACCTTATTTGATTTGAATGATGTATCAGAATCATAATCTAAATTATTATAACTTCATGAAAAGTCTAGATTTTCATACATACTGTTCAGTTACGCTCTAACCTTGGGCAAGTCATCTGTCATTTCCTTGTGCCTGTCAGGCAATCCAGAAATCAATTTTCAAGTGGTTTCTGATTTAAATCCAGATCCTTCTGAGCCATCCAAGGTCAATAAGGCTACGTCTACACTGCAGTGCGATACTGGGATACAATCAAGAGACAACAGTCTAGAAAACTGACATTTGCAGATGACCCAGAATGTGCTATGTAGGTCAGTATTTAGTCTCTTCAGCAATCTCTTCTCTGCACAGAATATTAGTGTCATCAAGCAGGAAGCTACATGTCTACCATTTTAGACTGTAATGTAGTAAGGTTCCATCAGTGGTAAATAAATGGCATTGATAAAACCAATATGACATCAAGATGCTAAGGATAACTCCCAATATAGGTCTTAGTCTGAGTAAAACATCTTGTGTTTACTGTTTCCCACTCATAGAGTTCTACCAATAGATACATTCGGTAGATTTGAGAAGGTATATTAAAAAACAACAATAATAAGAAAAACTGATGGGGTGAGGGAGTTGGGATACTAGGAGGACTTAGAAGCCTAGGAGGAATTAAAAACAATAGAAGAATCAAACTAAGAGCTGTCAACAGGAGAGAAATAAGCAAGTAAACAGTACTGTTATCACATATTTATTATGCTCTCTTTTGCTTTGGTATGTTTTGGATATAAAAAGTGACCATAGTTGAAAACAAAACATACAATTAGCTTTTTTTTGGTGGGGGGAGGTTGATTGGTTCAGGAGAGAGATGAATTGCTGAGTTTCTTTTAATTATTAATAGTATACTGCTTTGTACAGGGATCCTGTCATAATCACAAACTTACTGGGGTTAGGATGATTCTGAACTTGAATAGGAGACCTCCAAAAACCAAACAAACCGTAGGGTGCAATGCCGAATAGTGCTAGTGATTTAGTAGGGGCTGCTCTTCCCCCTGAATTAGTATTGACTCAAATGCCCCAGCATAGTGCCAGAGTATTGTGTTGCTGAATGTGAAGCTTTTGGATCAGATATAAGCTGACATTAAAGATCACATTGCACTCTTTGCAAGAGTAACCTGAAGATACTGGCCAAAATCCAATTTGGGTAATTACATTTTGCCTACTTTCTCTTGCAGTTTCAACTAATTCTGATATTCATCACTTCCTCACTTCAACTGCTGTGTTGTGTTTGCATACTCTTTCACACCAGAGGTAGCTGCATTTTTAGCAGACGATAAAGTGATTTCTATTTATAGTGTGTATACCTTTCTTAAATATGTTAGCATGTTGTGGTCCTTTCAATTAAATATAATCACGATATAAATGCAGATATTATCTTTAAAAAACTGAGTGGGTTCGCCCGTGGGCCTGATTTATCATTTAAATCAACAAAGCTACATATGCATGAAACCAGAATAATATAATGGTGATACATACCCTGTTATCTCCTACATTTTGAGTCCTATACATTGCTAGATTTCATGACAGGAGCAGTTTGAAACTTAACACTTGTGAAAATTCTATACAAACACTGACAAACTAAATAATTATGGCTGAGATTTGGAGGATCATGTTTAGTACTGATTGAAATACATCCAGTACCAGCAACAGTAAACATGTAGGCTACATCTACATTGCGCATTCTTGCGCAAGAAGATATGCAAATGTGCATACCTAATGAGCTGCCATTTTTGCACAAGAGCCGTTCTGCCTGAAAATAAGCGGCAGAATGGCTCTTGTGCAAGAGGGGGGTTTTGCGCAAGAAAGAGCAGTGTAGACCGTTCCTTCTTGCGCAAAAGCACCTTGCACAAAAATGGCGGCTCATTTGCATATCTTCTTGTGCAAGAATGCTCAATGTAGATGTAGCCGTAAGGGTTTAACTTATTTTGAAATGTCAGAAAAATACCATATAATAACTTAAAGAAGGATGATATTGCACTTTTTTTATCACAGCCATATGTTACATTGTTTCTTCTGCTGTATTTTCGCACATAAATTAATTTAGGTCTAATACTTTGTAAACTGCACTTAATTGGTCCGCAGCACCAAAGAGTTTATGTAGTCTCCATTTTTTATAAGAATTCTCTTCTCTCTAGTCAAGGCACCAAATCTTATAGTATCCGTGTGAAATATTGTAACATTTAAATTGTTCATTTATAGTGAGGTCATCCCACAGCTTGACCTGGTGAGTGACCTTGGGCAAGTTACTTCCCCTCCTCCCCTTTGTCTATTTTGCTCATTTAGATTGTAAACTCTTTGGGGCACCATCTGTCCCATACACTTGCTTTGTTCCTACCACAGTGTGGCCCTAATCTTGGTGCCTTTTAGTGGTCCTTTAATGCATATCACTATCCCTCAGGAAAAAAATAAAAATTTGGAAGCTAGAGCTGTTAAAATCAGAATGGGACAGGCAATATTGGATTGACATGACAGATAAGTAGCCATGGATGGTCCAGTTCATAAATCTGGAGAAATTTGGTGAAGTGGAGAGCATCCATAACTTAATGTGTGATGGTGGACCCTGGCTAGTGCATCCGGGGTCTTACTCTGACAAATGGTAAATTACTTAATGGCTAAGAACCAGAGCAGTCAATAAACGGTACATAGAACAGACACAAACTGAATATTCCTAAATTTTAGAGAATCTAAGCAGTTTAAATAGTTAGGTCTGAATAGTTAATGATAATACTGTAAGTAATGCATAGTGCACAGGGACTTTCAGTTATAACAAACCAAAAATATATAACACTAGCTAACAGACTTTTTCTAGAATCGAGAAAATTGGGAATGGGAGGGCGGTATTTTTAAAAATGTAAAATTTATAGAAAGATTTCTTTGTTGCTAGTTTACTAATGACCATAGTTTCTGAGCAGTATTATTAAAACCCATTTTTTTTTTTATAATATAACAAAGGGACTTTTTTTTTTTTAAGCTGTTGTGAAGAATTTATGTTGGTCTGCAGGTGTCACATAGCCTTACTAAGAATCAAAAGGAAAGCCGAGCAGGGCTTATATCTCCATCTGTATTTTGTAACCAACCACGTCCAGCCTGTTTATTTTACACTTCCTCTTGCTAATGAAGATATTGGTTTTGTATGGGTTATGCTCTCCTGCACGAGCTTAAGCCTGCAAGATTTGTGTGCGTTTCTGTGCTTTGGTTCCACTGACCACAATTGGTGCCCAAGACGCAAGGAACAAGAACAACAGAAAAACAACAAAACAAGTTTACATCAGTGCTCCAAACTGTTTCCTTCCAGTTACTGTGGCAAACTCCGGAGTTTAAACCATTCATCTCTTCCTTTTTTTTAAAAAAATTTTTTTTTTAACCTACGTTTGTTTTCTTTTCACATTTTCCAAATTAGCAAGCGCGGAGGCAAGGCACATCAAAGCAGAGATGGGGACTGAAAGAGCACTTGTGCTGGACAGGTTAGCGAGCAACGTGGCAAAGCGAAAAAGTTCAATGCCTCAGAAATTTATTGGTAAGAATAAAAAGTCTTTTTGTGTGCAGCAGTTAACTGTGTGAGGGCTGGTAACCTTCAGTGTCATAGCAGTACTTGTTATGTAGGGCCTTTTCTAGTCCATCATGTATTTAAATAAAGTAACTTCTGCTTTCCTGCTGTACTTCTACTTACTGGTTATAGGTATTTGATAAACAACAGAAAATGTTAAGTTAGATAAATGACAAATAGATATGAATTCATACTGTGTTTTGTGTCCATGTTAGTGTTTGCATGGACAGTTAATAAATATATATATATTTGGGGGTAGGAGATTGATTTAGAGCTTTGTGTGTGTGTGAAAATCTTTCTGCCCTTGATCCTGTACGGTGCTGAGTACCTTCCATCATCATGGTGAATGAAAGTTGAAAGTGCTCGGTACTCCTTGAGGAGGCATACAGCACTGCAGAATGGAGCCCAAAGTCAGAAAATTACTGAATTTTTAAAGGTCATCTTTTAAAAATTTGAATCTGAATGATAGAATCAACCCCTTTCTTACTCTGATTAAAATAATATGAGCACACTACAATTCCATAGAATTTACTTTGTATTTAATTTTATAAAATCAGTGTTTGGAAAACTGGAAATCCTAAATAGCAAGGTCTGACCTATTGTGTTGTTTTCTTTAATTGCTTTTCTTTCATTGCAGTTTTACTGAATCGTGAGCTTTCAAAATGGGATTATAAACAAATTCTAACAAAAGAACACTGCTTTACTAAAATATCTTTAATGTTTTCTGCAGAAATCAAAATAAGTTTTAAACATAATTCCTTTTGCCAATTAGCCTGCTGAAATGAGTATATGGTACTAGTCATAATACTTATCTCCTAGGTAGCTAGATTTGTTTCAAGTTTAAATAAAACACTATGCACTGTGGTTTTTAAAATTAAAATAGCTAACCAATCGCAGTTATAGTTTTGAAATAAACCTATATATCTGAGTTTGATGGCAGGTCCTATTTTTCATCAGTGTTTGATGTTGTTACTTCTGTTGATCATATTTATTTTGCCTATAACAAAAATAAAAATTGAACCTAATTCTGGACTATAGGAAGTTGTATTTGAGCTCAAGACTTTAGTCTGCAATTACAATATGCAACATTATTGCTAATAATGTCTTAATTGTAAATTTTCCAGAAGGATATATGTGGCTTAGGATGCTTACTTTTCTAACACGTTTTCTGTTGCAAATATTGGCCTCTGTGGTAATTTACAGTCACACTCACAGGAAAAGAGAAAAAAGGATAGTGATAGAAATCCATCTATTTTCATATAGTTTGATCTGCACTTTGCATAGAGGGTACTAAAGAAGTTTCTTGAAATTCTGAACCCAAATTTTCAAATCTGGGAAACAAAGGTTTGCTTCCTAAATCAAACTTTAGATGTTTAAATACAAGTGACTTGATTTTCAAACGTACTGAGCACCTATAGCACTCATTGGTTTCAGTGGGAACTCTCAAACTTTGATCTCCTCAAAAAGAAAAAAAAGCCATTTTGGATTTAAGAGCCTAATTTTAGGGACCCATATTTGAAAATTTTGGCCTTGAGTCTTAGTCCTTGCATGCCATACTGTTTTTCTTAAAATGCTCTTCAAGTTCTCTATCTCTTCTTTTTAGAATTGAGAGCAGCTTCCGATTTTTTGTTTTAAATATTGGGAGTGTGATTTTGCCAAGTGCTAAACACTCTTACCCAGTGCAACACAGAACTTAATTCTTGATTCAGTAAGCCACTGGAGCATGTGTCGAGCTTTTCAGTAGAACATATGCATGTGATCACAGTTCAGGATGAGCTGAAGTGCTTTGCAAGACTGGGGCCAATCTACTCAGCACCTCCCCTTTTTATGCTATGGTAATGCTTAATTGATACAGTTTTTTAATAGTGCAAGGGACACAATGATAAAATAAATATTTTGGGGATGGAGGCACAGAGGATATTCTTTTAACGTTATAGAGCAGGGTTACTCAACTTTGGAAGCCCCGGAGGCCACAGTGATATTCACAGCACATGCTGAGGGCCACAACTTAAGTGTGGTTGCATATACATGCAAATATATATGCACATATAAAATAGCATCTTTCGCACTGACGGGCGTGAATAAAATTTTAAAGCAAGACTACACAACACGCAGACCCCATTTACATCAGTTCTGCTGATAATAATAACATGCAATATTTACCTGATTTCTACCCATATGACAGCACTTTTAATGAGTAACAACAGTCCAGGAATTTAACTACCAAAACGCATATCAACAGAAGACCACTATATTGACTACTTTTTTGTTTTGGCTCTCACCCGCGGGCCATGTGTTGAGTAGCCTTGATACAGAGGAATTAAGTTCTGAAACATGTTGTTCCTCTAGAACCTCTGCTTACAGGCATGATGTGTTAGCTAATACTGAAAAAGCATGAGTCATTCACTCCCTTTTATCCTTGAGTGGCATGTTTGCAACAGCAGCAGTCTGTCTGACATTGACTTGACTTTTGTGACTTCTTGAACTATCTATGAGGAGGGAAAATCTGCCAGGACAGTTTTATGATTTCTTGGGAGACAGAGATCTTAGAAGGGTGCTGATTTTCATTTCCTCAAGAAGGAGGGAGATAGTGAGATGTGAACCAACTTAAGCTCATTTCTGTGAAAAAAGTCTATGGACAAGAAGAACTGTCAGTGTCTGTTGACACCTTTTAATCATGGTGACTCTGCAGACTCTCACGCTTTTTTGTAGGCCAAATTCTGGCTTGTCCTGTAAATGCCTCTAAAAGATTATGTATCACATTCTGACCAGTAGTGGCCCCACTGTGTAAAGAATTTGTGTGAGTAGGTGCAGTTACAATTGCTAGGGCATACATGATACAGTCGCATGAACAGACCATAACCCTGACCAGTGGTGAAAGTAACTTACAATTTCTTACAGATACTGCCCTGTTACAACTCAGGTTCCTGCCAGCTCTTTAAATAGCTCCCTACTGGCTTTTGCCATAGCTCAGGCAGCTTTTGCAGGAGCTGCACATCAGGGCACGCCCACTTAATTTCATCTCTTACCGTGACTCCTAATGGTCTCTTTATGGCTCATGTTGCAGAGGTTCTGCTTTTGGCCTTTCTGTGGGTTTTGGGAGAACAGTTGTTCAGCAAAAGTCTTCCATCTTGCACTCCTTATCTTTCTGCCAGAATTCTAAACATATACTTATGTGTGCCAAATTTGTAGTATTTAGCACTTTGTAATTACCATTTCAGTTCTCCATCTTTTATAGTGATGGCTAGTATTATGAATATAATATGGCAGGCACACCTGTCAATTAAGCTACCTCTCAATAGTGAGTGCTGGTGGTGTTTCCTAATTTCTTGAATAAAGCATACATCAGGGTAGCTCCTCAGCGTGTGTAATTCAAAGTAGCTCTATCAGTTAAGTCAATTAAGTTGTGCCACTTTACATGATTGCTGCCCATCTGGCTCATTTTGTGCTACTTCTTTTCGAGAGTGGTATTAAAAATAACTTTCTCCCCCACTAAAACTGTTAGTACAGTTTTGAAACTTCAGCAAATGCTGCCAGCTCTCTGTGTGAAGTAACTAATGAAAAATGCCCTGAGTTGGTTGAGAGCAACAGGAAGCGGGTTCACTCCCTTTTTCCAGTGTCCACATCTCATTATGTCACAAATCTGCATACTTATAAAGAGTAAGCATCACTGAGCAACAACTGGCAGTGGCTACTTATGTATTATGCATTATATGATCATGTGTGAATCTGAAGGGGAAAGTTTTGCATTGTACTGAGGTAAAAAATAAACAGGGGAAGGATGTTTCTTAAAATGTGCAGCAGCTTGCTTTGTAAAATGAAGAGTAGAGGACCATGAAGACTCGGTTCTTAATTTGGTATTTCACAGTAACTCTGTAAAACTTCACTTGGGAGCAAAAGCAGCTTAACACATAGTAATCTCTTGCATTATCCCACAATACTCCAATAAATAAAATTATATCACTACTTCATGCCCTAATTAATCTTCTTTTCCTTATTCCATTGCGCTCATGCTTTCTTGCCTTTTCCCAATCTACTCTTCTTTTTTTTTTTTTGCCCCACTCTGTTGCTGTCCATGGCTACGTCTAGACTGCACGCCTTTTTCGACTGTATCTTTCGAAAAAGCCGCTGTCAAAAAAGAGCGTCTAGACAACAAGAAGATTTTTCAAAAAAGCAGCTCGCTTTTTTGAAAGAGAGTCTAGATGCGCTCTCTTGAAAAAGCGCTGTTTTCATGCAATAGTGCCTTTTTTCAAAAGATGACTTTCAAAAAAAGGCGTTATTCCTCGTAGAATGAGGTTTACCGCTGTCGACAAAACCGCTGCGTTCTGTCGATTTACTGTTGACAGAATGCAGCGGTAGTCTAGACGCAGGTATAGTTTTTTCGGAAAAAGACCACTTTTTTCCAAAAAAACATGTAGTCTAGACACACCCTATGAGGCAATGTTTGAGCTGCCTTTTATCTCCTTTTAAACAAAGCTTGCTGACTTAGAACACAACCAAAGCCAGTGGTACTCGATCCATTTGCCTGTGTTATGTTATCATTTGGTATGATGTAAATGCCGTGAAGAATATACTCTTAGTAATTTTTATGACATTTAGGGTGCATTTACACTGCATTACTATTTTGAGATAACTAGCATTATTCTGAAATAACAATGCGAGCATCTACATAGCCATTCCGTTGTTTCAAAATAATTTTGAAATAACCGATGGCTTATTCCAAAATCTGTAAACCTCATTCTATGAGAGATACTGCCTATTCCGAAATAGCTATTTCAAAATAAGGCCTGTGTGGATGCTTCACTGCTGTTATTTCAAAATAGCCCCTCACCAGAGCCATTCTAAGTTATTCCTCCCCAGTACCTCCTGGGGCTCTAAATCGAGATAGCATGTATACATTAAGGAAGCCTGCCTCGGACTGATTTTGAGGCTTCCCTGTAGTGTAGATGTGCTATATTGAAATAAGCTATTTCGGAATAACTACTCTGGAATATCTTATTTTGAAATAAGTGTGCCGTGTAGATGTACCCTTAGTGTCTTTGGTAAGGAGATCTGATAATAAATTCATTTACTATATTATTGCATATGTAACATCTTTCATCCCAAAGTGCTTTACACATTTAATAATCTGATCAGTATATGTAGGAATCATTCACCTGCCATTGTTTCTGATGTGGAATATGGAAGCTTTTTAAAGGTATATCATAGAATCATAGAATAATAGGACTGGAAGGGACCTCAAGAGGTCATCGAGTCCAGCCCCCCGCCCTCAAGGCAGGACCAAGCTCCGTCTACACCATCCCTGACAGATGTCTATCCAACCTGTTCTTAAATATCCCCAGAGAGGGAGATTCCACCACCTCCCTTGGCAATTTATTCCAATATTTGACCACCCTGACAGTTAGGAATTTTTTCCTAATGTCCAATCTAAACCTCCCTTGCTGCACTTTAAGCCCATTACTCCTTGTCCTGTCCTCAGTAACCAAGAGGAACAAATTTTCTCCTTCCTCCTTGTGACACCCTTTTAGATATTTGAAAACCGCTATCATGTCCCCCCTTAATCTTCTTTTTTCCAAACTAAACCACATAACATCTCTGATTATGTCAAGGGGGTAAAATAGAATATTTTATCTAATTGAACAATCAGGTGGAATTTTAGGGAAGCATATTTGAACAGGACATGAGGACTTGCATTTCTGTTTAAGGATGTAAAATAACATTTTAAAAGTTAAACATTATATTTAACTGGTTAACCACCCCACTCTTATTTTTCCAAACTAAACCACATAACATCTCTGATTATGTCAAGGGGGTAAAATAGAATATTTTATCTAATTGAACAATCAGGTGGAATTTTAGGGAAGCATATTTGAACAGGACATGAGGACTTGCATTTCTGTTTAAGGATGTAAAATAACATTTTAAAAGTTAAACATTATATTTAACTGGTTAACCACCCCACTCTTATGGAT